GCAAAAGGGATATTCTAGTGGTTGTCTAGTTAATTGAAATTTACTATCATTACTGTATAAGATACTTTAGTGCTACATTTGTTAACTATTTTAATATTCAAATTTCTTTCTCCTGTCCAGATAATCTGTACTATTTTCTGATGTTATCCCTTTTATTTCTTCATCTATCAATCTCTACCCAAATTGCTCTCTCCACTATGCACTATCTTCATAATATACAACACTGCTCTGCCTATACCCACTCCTTTTATCTATTCTTTTATATTCCAGCCATAGATCTCATTCCATAAATTCCTTGTAATACTAAGATCAAATCTGCTTCTTTATATTAAGATTTATCATTCGTGTTATTTGTTATCTTAATTTTGTGCATTTGTATATCAATATCCACGGACATCAGTTTTATTACTAACATTAAATTTTATTTCTGGTGAATTTCTGTGTGTTTCTACTGCTAGTCTTCCTACAGTATAGTTATTCTCTATGTAGTACCCAGCACGGGAGCTATAAGAAGGCAGATTTTCCACTTCCCTTCATTTTCAGTTTAAAGTCCTTTTGATTAGCTTTGCAAAACTTTGGGCAAACAGATTTTGTATTACGCTGTTCTTAGGAACACTCCATCACTGGCCCAAATCCTTTTTTTAAACTGGGGTCTAGAAATCCAAAATCTATTGTTAGACATGTATCTTCTTAATTAAATATTCTCAATCCTGCCTTTCTTTTTTGAAGCCCTTTCTTGTGATCAGCTACACGATGAAACTGATACCTATACTCCTAATATTTGTTTCACTAACATGCCTTAGAGCAGAGATTTCTAAATAGCCTCACTGCTTAAGGAGACTTAAGGGGCAGACAATGGTGCTAAAATTAGTGGACATTTTCCAGCATAATTTCACATTATAATATCCACTTTATATCAAATAAGAACAACATTCAAATCAGTAAACAAAAACAAGACTAACACTGAGAATTTGCTTCAAATGACAATGAATGTAGCTCAATTATTTAATACAGTATGTGCAAATGAGGTCAAATTTGAATTGATGTATACCAAATGTCAATTTGGGTATGACACGCCACCATTACTTTCAGTACATGACATACAAATTGTGCCATCCAACTGCTGCAAGCACTTGGATGGGAAATATGTAAACTTGAAGTTAAATGATCTTTGTATGGACGTTAAATGTACCCTTGATAGCTGTTAAAATTCTAAGTAGCATTAATTTTAGTAAGTCCAATATAAAAAGCTAGTTTCCAAAAAACCTCCAGTTTTTAAAATTCTGAAATGAGAAAACTGTTATAGTTTGAAATTTATTAAAAATTAATGGTTTAAAATTTTATTGCTTAATTTTTCAAGTGACATTTTTTTGCATAGACTGTCTTATAAAAAGTGAAAGGGCATGACTTTTTTTGTTTATGAAAAAAAAGTAGGGAGGGAGTAGCCGTGCTTAGAAGTATCAGTTTCACTTCCTTGTCCTTCCTTATCAATTAGCAATCCTGGCAATATCACTTGTGTCCATGAGTATTACAAGAAGTAAACAGCAGTCCTTCAAATTTTACAATTCTTGGGAGGTTCTTGTTATGTCTTGGATAAATGCAAGAGTTTATAATACCATCAGGATAAAGGAAGATAGAGGTCAGTATGAATCAAAATAAAGGAAATTAAACTTACTATTTTCCATATAGAAAAATGTTTCATGTAATAATTATTTTATATATATCTAATTTTACATGTAATCACCAGCAAAGAATCTTTTTTTTCCAGAACCAAAAGCATTTTCCCACTAAATTTGAAAAGTGAGCTGGCAACCATATTAAATCCATGTATTACTTGTATAATTTATTCCATTTTAGTAGCTAAAATTTGGAGCTGGGGTAGGATTTTACACAGGAAAATTACTTCTATTTGCAGCTCCAACCTAGGTGAACCAAGAAAACTTCTCAAAATTCAGCTTTTGACAATAGGCATGAGCATGTTTATCCAGGCGGAGTTTCTTGGTAAGAACTGCTGAAGAAATATGAACAATGCTTAAGTATTCTTTTTTCATTTTTAGAAATCAAATTGCTATAGACTTTAAAATGTATTGAAGTATAATTACCAAGGTTTCAAATTAAATTTGTAGAGAAATTCTGTTAATAAAATTCACAGAAATTGTCTCAAACTGTGAAAGGTGGGAAAGTATATATGAAGAGGAAAATATTCAAGGAACAACTGTAAGATTCTCACATATTGTACCAATCTTTTCCCATCATAATGTATTCTACATATTAATATAGACTACATTCCAATTAAGTGCTTCAATTTTTAAGTCACTTATTTGTCCTAAATTATATGTGTTGTGCATATATAAAGATCATACTAAAACTTCACTTTCATCTAATCAATCTCAGAATGGATTTTGGATTTCAAAGGTTATGACTAAATTCACAAAAATGGTCAACTATGAAATGAAACTCTAAAAACAATTAATTAGGATATTAAAGCAAGAAACCTGCAATAATAAGATATGTTGATTGTTAAAAACCATTAGATATTTTCGAAGGGAGTAGTTAAACTAGAGTGTGAAACTGGACTGAGAGGAGGTAGATTTGGGTTCTAGTACTCACTCTCCTATTAATTTGCTATGCATTCTTAAAGAACAACAAAATTGGACCAAATGATCTTAAGATCTGTTTCAGCCCTACGATTCAAAAATGCTATGATTCTGTGACACAGTGAAATTAAATAAATTCTTAGCAGAGTAATTAAACTCAGACATAGATTACCAAAAGAGACTTCCAAGATATACACTGCAGTGTACGTCTTGGAGTAAATTTAGCTCTTAGATATCATTTTCTCATCATTCCAGACTTTCATAAACAGTTTATCATAAGCAAAAACAGGAACACCATATTTTAGATTTCATAACCCAAAGAGTTATGAATGAACTTATATATATTTTGATATTAAGTAAACTATATTTCACTTTAAGATTAATAAATATCAGTATTGTCTCTTCTGATAAAATGCAAAACTATTAAAGGTTTTAGGAATTATTCCAAATAAAATTCTTCTTTCTGGTATTACAAACATTCAAGAAATGTAATCCACAAAGGATAGATTATATGAATTATTTAATTTTGAAGACTATAACAAGCCTCTTCTCACACCATCTCCTTGCCCCCCAAGTTGGGGCATTCTAAAAAAATGCAAGTAAAGATTTTGTGGTATATATTTTTGTAATCAAAACATTCTAACATGTTAAATCCCAATCAATCTTACATAGACATTTATTTTCTTTTAAAAGTCAATCTTATAAAAGATGTGAACTATAAAGGATTATCCCACAGAAACTTGCAACTTCTAAAAATGTTATAAACACTTTGCATATTTTAGACAGTATAACTTCAAGACTATTTGAGCATTATATGTAATGAGCACTAAAGAACCTAGTGTCTTAAGTTAAAGGTTTTGAGTAAAAATGATTAAGCATAACATAGACAGAATAATGTCCTTTTGATAAGTTTTAAGGAATGTTAGTTAATGATATGCTTCTATCCAAACAAATGAATTACATAACTCTTTCTGATATTCCATAAATATTATGACCAAAGAAACTGTAAACTACTTATTACTATTTTATTTAAGTGAAAAGGCTATTTTAAGTAATCTTAGCAAAAAAATCCATGCTAGAAATAAATGCCTGGAGAGCTAATGCCCCCAATGGAGGAGGCGGAGGAAGGAAGGGGAGAAGAAGAAAGGGAAGTGACTTGTATAATTCAACAATGACTGATTCATTAAACTAAGAAATGATTGAGGTACACTGCGGAGATAAATGGAATCTTATTTAGTTCTCTAACTAAAAGGAGCTTATCAGTCTCAAGAAGACAAAGATATGAAGTAAATAAAATATCTTTCTCAGATGATACCTTTTAAAGGTATCTTTAGATGTGGAAATAAAACACTTTAAGAGATGAGGAGAATGTGAAACTTAGCTACAATGACAGTATTTCTTAAATGTTACTAGAATTCATAACAAGAATTGACAAAAGTATCATATATTAACATGGCTTAATGTTAATTAGTTTTCTTTTGGATTGCTTTTGAATTCTACAGAAGCAAGAAAAAATGCTTCAGTTACATGTAAGGCCTCATTTATTTATTTTTTAAAATATTCTTATTTTAGGCAACTGGGGTTAAGTGACTTGCCCAGGGTCACACAGTTAGTAAGCGTCATGTTGTGAGGCCTCATTTAAAGCTACTCTGAATTCAATAAAATATCTCTACAATGTTCTACAGAAAAAAGGTTGTTTTTAAAAAATTAAGTTTTTTTTAAACATCAGAAAACTGAAATATTTTACTGACTTTCCCTTGCTTTTCTACAATGAGATGTTAATATTTCTACGTTACAAAGGGGAAAAATGATAGAAAGAAAAAGCTTTTTATGGTATAGAATAAGACTACCAAAAACCCCCCCCTCTATTTTTAAGAGCATTTTTCATTTTATGTAACCATTCAATCTTAATTATATTATAACAAATTATTTGCTATTTAAACTTACAGGTTTATTAAACTGAGTTAAACACTCTTGAAATCTGTTTATCGAAACAAAGTGAACAAGGAGTGCCAATTAATCAATCAAAAATCAAAAATTAAGGATCCACTATGTGCCCATTATCTGTCCTGAATGTCAAGAAACTGAATTCACTATAAATCTTTACCCCATCTACAAAGTCAAACACTGATCATCACCTCATATTTTTTCATCATTTTTTCTTTTACTGTTGAGCATGAATCAGTTCTAAATAAAATAATGTGTGAAACTCACAAGTTTATTAAAACAAATGAATGTTTTAGTTATTTGGCCATTACATATTCTTATGAAAAACCTTATAAAGCCCTATGAAAGCTATAGTGACCCTCCTCCACTCCTCCTTCTCCAATGTTTTGGGTTTAAGTTCAGTAATTCCCTTAGTTTTTAAAATTAACATATACAATTATTCAAGTTACAACTTACTTGATGAAGGTCATTTCCTAATACACATTCTGCAAAGTAACCAGGTGCAGCAGATGATGCTCGAATAGCTTGCCATATTTTGTGATGACATCCTCCTAAATAGTGTGAAGTGACTCCAGGAAAATGACCATAGTTTCTGAACACAAATGCTTTTGGTGTTACTCCTCTGTTTACAAGAGTACTTACTGCTGCCACCTATTAAAATTTTAAAAAGAAAAACAGATATTACAAGACCTATCCAAAGGCTCTAATTGTCTAGGGAGTGAGATAAAGATATTTCTTTTGGGGAATTAACTTTATAAGACAGAAAACTTTTGAGTTTTATCTAACCTATGCCTGTATATAGAGAAATAAAACAATACTTTTGAGAAAGTGGCTATAAGAAACACAATCAAAGAATTGTTTTGCCCATACGAAAATGATTATTTAAGAAACACACGTTAATACACATTTCTAAAACTTTTAAATAATAATTCAGTTATTAGTAGTAATAAACACTTTTTAAAAATCAGTGCATAATTGATTTTTAAAAGGGAATATAACTATACTCAGAATAGCATTTTACAAAGTACTCTTTATTCTATGATATTTGACACGAACTATATTATAAACTCATTTAAGACTGCATTTATTAGGAATATGGTGAATCAACAGCAATTTTAAAAGAAAAGAAAAATTATGTGACTGATAACACTAGGTTTTAGAAATGAAGAATTATGACAAAAAGTTGTAAATTAAGTTGGTAAAACATTTTAAAAACTATTTAATATGCTGATTATCTGTAATATAGTTGCAGATTTTTTTCCCCCAAATACCAATTTGCTTTGCTGTACTCCTTAACTCCTGAATTCTTACCTGCTTTTCACAAACTACCATTTGTGTATCATTGGTTATAAGATGAACCTAGTGAAAAAGACTTGATGCATCAAATTAAAACCAAACCTGCTCCTAGAAGAATATTTCAAAGTTGTATTCATCTTACTGATCATGAGTCCAAAAAGTCATTTTCTTTTATAAGGGAGAATACATTATAAAAATTAATCTATAATGTTTGCCTCTGATCAAATGTCTATATAAAAACAGAAGTTTGGCTGGTGGTAAGACATCATTTTTGGCTAAATGAAATAACTTCATGGAATCTTCTCCCTATAAACCACAATTTCTGACCTAAACTTTATTAATGAAACAAACACAAGGCCTGTTTTCTTGACATTCCTTTCCTCTGCTGCTCCTAGCTTTTTTTTAGCTCAAATCCTGGACTGAGAATCTCTATTTTCAGAACGATAAAGTCCCAGTATTTCAGAGTTGGAAGGGATATCAGAGGTCCTAACACATACCTAAACAAGAATCCTTTGTACAGCTTAACTGACAAGATCATTTAGCTTCGCCTTAAGACTAATAGAAAGGAGGAACTCCCTCTTTGAGTTGCAAATTTCCTTTTTTGGATAGATTTTATTAAAAGTTTTGACTTCAACCAAGTATAAATCCCTCTCTCTGCAACTTCTACCCATTCAGGTCTACTCCTCTTCCAAAACAGAATCCTTCAAATATGTAAAGACAACTATCCTATCACTCATAAATCTTCCTATCTCAAGGTCAAATAGTTGTTGAACTGTTCCTCAAGTGACATAATGTCAAGGCCTTTCACCCTCCCACAGGTTCTCAATGTCCTTTCTAAAGCGCCGCACATAACTAAAGACAACCACTCAGAACGTAAGATGGCAGAGAAATGGTAGGGACTTGCCTAGGCTCTCCCAAATTCCCTTCCAAGCAACTTTAATAATGTTTCAAAATGAATTCTGGAATGGCAGAACTAACAAAAGGATGAGGTTAAAAAATTTTCCAGTCCAAGACAACTTAGAAGGTCAGCAAGAAAGATCTGTCTCACTGAGGTGAGAGTGGAGCACGGCCCAGCACAGGCTGAGTCCCAGCAAGCCTGCAGCAAGGCTTGGGGGTGACTGAATCAGCAGGGGGCAGCTTCCACAACTCTCAATCTATGGACAGTAAGGAGACCTTTTGCTGGCACTGGGTCCTGGACTCTGTTTCACTGCCTAGGAATGGCTTTGGGTCACAGTCCCAGGGCAAGGCAGAACACTAGCACACTAGATCATGTGGCTGCAGGGGAGCTGGGACTCTGATCACAGTTCCAGGGTAGAAAAGAGTGCTTGTGGTCATTCACAGATCAGAGCACAGGCCAGGAGAGCAGTGACCACATCTCCCCTTAGATCATACCACCTTGGAAGAACTAAAAACTTACAAACCCCTAGAAGTAACTCTGAAAATAGCAACACCAAAAACCTGAAGCTTGAGATAATGCCCTCTCCAGGCTGGGAGCAGAGCCCAACTTTAACATAAAGTTAAATGTCAAGAAATAGGCTGGAAAAATGAGCAACAAGAAAAGAACTTGACCATAGAAAGTTACTATGGTGACAATGATGATCAAAACACAAACTCAGAAGGCAACAAAGACAAAACAGCTTCATCCAAAGCCTCAAAGAAAAATGTGAAAGGTCTCAGTCCTTCTGCCCCACCCCCTCCACTGACTACCAAGAATTCCTAGAAGAGTTCAAAAAGGATTTTAAAAATCATAGAGACAGAGGAAAAATTGGGAAAAGAAACGAGAGTGATGCAAGAAAATCATGAAAAAAGAGTCAACAGCTGAGTAAAAGAGGCACAAAAAATTACTGAAGAAAGTAACACTTTAAAAAACAGAATAGACCAAAAGGTGAAAGAGGCACAAAAATCCAATGAGGAGAAAAAACTCTTAAAAAGCAGAACTGGTCAAATGGAAAAAGATGTACAAAAATTTCCTGAAGAGAAGACCTCCTTAAAAAACAGAATTGGTCAAATGGAAAAGGAGGTACAAAAGCTCAACGAAGTAAATAATTTCTTAAATATTAGAATTGGGCAAGTGGAAGCTAACAGCTCCAAGAGACATCAAGAAACAATAAAACAAACCAAAAGAATGAAAAAAAATAAAAGAAAATGCGAAATACCTCATTGGAAAAACAATTGACCTGAAAAATATATTGAGGAGAGATAACTTAAGAATGATTGGACTACCTGAAAGCTGTGATCTAAGAAAAAGCCTAGCCATTATATTTCAAGAAATTATCAAGGAAAACTGCCCCATTAGCTTAGATCCAGAGGGTAAAATGGAAACTGAAATAATATACTGATCACTTCCTAAAACAAATCCCATAATAAAAGCTCCCAGGAATATTAGAGCCAAATTCCAGAGCCTCCTGGTCAAGGAGAAAATATTGCAAGTGGCAAAAAAGAAACAATTCAAATGTCATGGAGCCACAGTCAGGGCAACACAAGCTGCATCTACATTTAATGAAGGGAGGGCTTGGAATATGATATTCTAGAAGGCAAAGGAGCTAAGATTACAATGAAGGATCACCTACCCAGCAAAACAGAATAATCCTTCAGGGGAAAAAATGAGTATTTAATGAAATAGAGGACTTTCAAGTATTCCTGATGAGAGCTGAATGGAAAATCTGACTTTCAAAATACAAGACTCAAGAGAAGCATAAAAAGATAAACAAGAAAGAGAATCATAAGAGATTCAATAAGGTTAAACTGATTATACTTCTACATGGGAAGATGATACTTGTAGCTCCTAAGAACTTTAACTTTATTCAGGCAATTTTAAGGAGTGCACATGGACAGAGGGCACAGGTGTGAGCTATGATGGGATGATATCTGAAAAAAAAATTAAAGGGCAAGAAAGAGGGATGCACTGGGAGAAAGGGGAAGGTAGAATGGGGTAAATTATCTCATATAAAAGAGACACTAAAGAGCTTTTAAAGTGGAGGGGAAGAGGGTGGCGGTGGCAGACAACACTTGAACCTTACTGTCACTGGAAATGGCTCACAGAGGGAATAACATATACACTCAGTTGGTCACAGAAATCTATTTTAGCAGACAAGAAAGTAGGAGAGGAAGGGGAGAAGAGACAGAGAGAGGGATTGATAGAAGGGAGGACAACCTGGGGGAGGCAGTGGTCAGAAGCATAACACTTCTGAGGGGGTAAAGGGTGAAAGGAGAGAGAGAAGGTTAAATGGGGGAAATAGGATGAAAAGAAATACACAGTAATCCTAAGTGTGAAAAAATTTTTACAGCAAGTTTCTATGATAAAGGCCTCATTTCTCAAAAATATAGAGAATGGAGTCAAATTTATAAGAATACAAGACATTCCCCAATTGATAAATGGTCAAAGGCTATGAACAGGCAGTTTTCAGATGAAGAAATCAAAGTTTACTACAGTCATATGAAAAAATGCTCCAAATTACTGATGAGAGAAATGAATATGACAGAAATATGACAGCTAATACGACAGAAAATGAAAATGACAACTGTTGGAGGGGATGTGGGAAAAATTGGTACACAAAAGCGTTGTTGGTGGAGTTGTGAACTGATCTTACCATTTTGGAGAGCAGTTTGGAACTATTTGGAACAAAGGCTAACATATATAACATATGGATTGAGCAAAGTCCATCAGATTTGGCAATTAAAAAATCACTAGTAAGTTTGGAAAGAGCAGTTTCTTGATGATGATGTCAGAAGCCAGACTATAGAGTTAAGAGAGCGCGAACAAATGAAGATGAAGCACTGACTGCAGAAGTTTATCCAAGAAAGGGAAAAGAGATATGAGGCAATAACTAGTGGAGATGGCCGGAACAAGTGACGGTTCTCTGAGGACAGGTGAGACACAGGCATGTTTGAAGGCAGTAGGAAAACAGCTAGTCAATAGGGAATAAAATAAATAAAAGATTGGGAATGATAGAGGAAGCAATCTGCTGGAGAAGAAGGGATGGAAGAAGATCAGCTGTGCATGTAGAGGTGTTTGCCTTGGCAAGGAGAAGGGCCACTTCTTCACATAAGACAAGTGAAGGAGGAGGTAGCAGCAAAAATTCATTTGAGTCATGTGAGATATGAGAAGATAGAGCTCTTGGTAAATGCCCTCATTTTTTTTTAGTGAAATATGAGACAAAGTTCTCAGCTGAGAGAGTGGAGAGGGGCAGCTATGGGAGGTTTGAGGAAGGATGCAAAGGTTTAAGAAAGTTCCTTCAGTGAGAGGGCCAGAAAACCAATTAGGGATAAGCTAATCAATCAGTCAATAATCAATCATAATCAAAAGTGAAAGGATTCAAATATTTTGCTAAAATTTAGGTAAATTATATCTATTGCAACCCCTTAATCTACTAAAAAAGGAACTGAGGTTGGCCTGGAATGTAATATTACACCACTCTAGACTATCATAAAGTTTACCACTTCATACTATTTTTTTAAAATCATGCATTTATAAAGCCTAGTTAGAACTGGGATTCAGAAGAAAGTGTTATTCTGAAGAGCTCTGTCATTCCTTCCCTTTAAAAATAATAAAATATTTTCCTATAGTTTTATAGTCATATGACTCTACACTTACCTTAGGAGATTTGGAATTTCTTGCTGTTTCAATCATTAGATCAGATCCCATTCTATCCCTTTATAAAATAACAAAGAGTAAATTATATCCAATGATTACATTTTAAAAATGTAGGTGACATAAAAATCTATTTTAAAATGCATTTAAAAAGTGATTACCATTTTAAACTATCATATATGAACAAGTATTTCCTAAACAATATGTTTGTGCCCCCAAAATATGGAGAGATTAAAAAAAAAGCTATAACTATGTCTCTTTATAAAGCTTAAAATTTAATAAGCGAGATAAGACTAATATACATGAAACAATTCTTTATGCCCCAAGTATTTCTGTCTAGAGGGAGGATGAATGTTGAGTTGCTAAAAAAAAAAAAAAACAAAAAACGCTATTTCATTTAAGGATCCCCATAGTCACATACATAAAAGATACCAAGTAGATACTTCTTAGTTGAATAATCTAGAGAAGCTGGGAAGCAATGTATTCATCCAATTAATTGAGGTTAGTTTTAAAATTTGCCTTCTATCACATTTAATATTATCCTACACTATGGAAATGTGAGCCATTTGGTTAAATTTCAGGAAAAGAAAGGCTTTAGGAGATCAAATAAGCGAATGGACACTTGGGGGAAAGGGTAACCAAGTTATTAGTGGCAAATTTTAAAAGTAATTTTTTTAAAGACCAAGAATTGAGCACAAAACTTTGTACTGTATATTAACATATTTTAGTCCCAGTGCACATCTGAATAATCTGTGTGCTGTTTTGGCATTTTTTTTCCAAGCCTCTTATAAAGAAATCTTATATTAGTTTAAATATAAAAGAGACTTTGAAAAGGACCTGAGTTCACTTATACTGGGCTTGGCATCATGCCCTGGAGTTCATTAGGCTGGGCCTTTGTGATCAGTAATAAATTGGACATTCTTTTAATGGGGAACTCCTTTTCTCTGGTTTCTTCAGTATGCAAATCTGAGATAGTTAAATGGCATGCTTCAGCTAAGCTCATCTCTAATGGTGCTGGAGTAATTGCTTTCCAAAAAAAATATGACTTAACCAATAAAGGGCTTTGAAAGCGTTTGTCTTAGTCTACGTATAAAGAATTCTACTGAACTAAAAATCCTCATTTGGATAGCATAATTAATGAAGGCAGTGAGGTATAATGAGAACAGCAGCTGGATTGAGCTCAGGAAAGATATGGGTTCAAATTCTACCTCTGACACTTTACTAGTTGTGTGACCACTGGCGTAGTCACTCTCAGCCTTAGTTTCCTCATCTGTAAAAACAAGGATAATAATCGTGTAGCTACTTCACAACCCTGTTACGAGAATCAAATGAGATAATGTATGTAAAATGCTTTGCAAAACTTCCAACTACTATACTACACAGAATTTTTTAAATAAATGTCTATCAGATAAACATTCAGGAATCAGGTTTCACTATTAACTCAAAAATAATTAAATCAACAAACCACTACAACGAGGAGTTAGGCAAACATTTTAGTTTACTTTGCTTCAGTCTCAATGGGGTTACAGAAATTAACCCAAAATTTTATCATTTCTTTGCTATTTTTCATATGAAGTAGCTTATTACAGGTTCCCAGTGTGCTCCTTAATACCTGTTTTTCTAGTTTTTAGTTTCCACACTTGCTTATTTTTGGTATTTGATTGGGATGAGAAAATGTGGCAGCTAAGACTAATCTTAAATTAACATGGTAGGTTTAAAAGTAAGCATACCTCTAATTCCAAGTAGTATGAAATAATAATAAATTTTTTAAAGTTCTAAATAGGAAACCTTCAAAGAGGTTTTTTTTTTATGTTTAAGTTTCAGGGCAGTGGGCTTGACTTTATGAGACGTAAGTATGCATCCTGGTTTTGCCACTTATAAATCATATTAGCCAGGCAAATCATTTCACTGCTTTGGATCACAGTGTTTATTTATCTGTAAAATAGGGATGAGGATCTGTTCACTATATAACTTTACAAGGGTGCTGTGAGGAAAATACTTCTTAAATTTTAATGTGTTACAATATGTGACCTATTATTTTAAAAGGAACTGACTGCTAGCAAATTAAACTATGTTTAACCAAAAATATTAGCAAATCTTACTAGGAAAAGAAGACTAATTTGTGCAGTTAGTCAGAGGGCACAGAGAAAAACTAATTTTTCTTCTAGAAACAATTTTATACTGCTTTTACACACTTCATAACTTCTGAGAAAACGATATCAACATCATTTTGAAAACCATGTAGATTAACATCTATTAAATAAAAATCATCACTAGCAAATTCTAAAAATAGTTTCTAATGGTTTTAAATATTAATTAAAAATGAAAAATCATTGCAAATGATTCAAACTACACTTATCAGGACAATTGCAGTGAGAATTATGTGACATTCTGTGGACAATTATAAATTAAAATCAGTCCATCAAAATTCAACTTTCTCTGAAGATATTTTATTACTACATTAAGAGCCAGTCATAATCACCTTTTCTAAAAGATGACAAACATATCAATCCTCTCTGAGCACTTCAAATAAAAATTTACTAAAATGACATATGGCAATGACAACTTACTTAAGTATTCTTTCCCAGGTTTCACTGTTATAAAATGCATGGCTCCACCCCATTTTGACTGTTCCAACAATAAGATTCTGGGTAAATACATCTGTTCCTAACTTTCGATAAAGTTCCTCACATTCATCCAGTTGCAAATGAAATAATCCCAACATGAAAGCTAATATGGCACCTAAAACAAAGAATGTCAATATATAAAATCTGTGAGTTTTTCAAGAAAAAAAAATGAACCAAGTTTTAATCAAAAGAGAAGAAACTATACATATAATAGTTTCTATTTTCCATCAAGGGACACACGAGAAATTTACGGTAATATACAACTTTACTATAATGAAGTGACCACATAGCTGAATTTGTTATCTGACAATCCTACCAACTCATTATTCCTTTGAACTAGTCCAGGGAAGTTTTGTAGGTACAGGGAATGTTTTTTTAAAAAGCTAATTTACAATTAATAACAAGCAAATACTGCCACCTAGCGTGTGTTAAATTAGATTGAGCCTAAGCCGACAAAAATTTAAAAAACAGGGAGTGAGAAAAATATTTTAAATTGTCACTGAATAACCTGGGATAGTAATAATTGGGATACAACTCAGAGAAAAAGAGTAAAATACTATGAAAATATTTTTCTAAATATATATATTATGTTATGTCATGTCATCATAACTAACAAAATAAGGTCAAATTTTCTCTGAACTATATTATTCTGAACTATAATATTCTGAAACTAGTTGTAACTATGACACAGTATCATTAACTTAGAGAAATGGTGTCACTTTCTTTGTTACTGGGATTACTGCAAAGAAAAAAAAACATTAATTATGTTAACATATAAAAATGAGAAAAATATAATTAAAAAAATAAAGAAGTCTTAAATGTACAAATAAAGAAGAAAAATGATCTAAGGAGGCAGAGGATAATATTGATCCATATCAGAAGGACAAACAGTAGAAAAATGTGAAGAAAGGGGAAATGAAGAGAAAGACCATAGGGGCTAAGTAATTCTCAAAAAGGAGGGAGCAAGGCCCACTGATGATAAAGTAGCTGCTTGTGGTACAAAGAATGATAATTCAGACATATGTGTGCCATCAAGTGAAAAAACATCCAATAAGTCAGAGAATAAAGAGAAAAGTAATAGTGGTCATGGTACAATGGAAAAAACCATGGATTTGGAGTCAGAGGAAATGGATTTAAATATATATTTCTTAATTCCTGCAGAATTCTGGGCAAGTCCCTTTAACTCTCTGGGTCTAGGCTTCCTCTTTAGTAAAATAAAGGTGTTGAATCAGATGAACTCTGAAATACAGCCCATCTCTAGCTTTAGACCAACACTGCACACAAGAAATTCAAAATGAATACATGATCTGAATATTAAAGATCATACTACAAAAATATTGAAAGAGAAATGGATCCTTCACAGCTATGGCTTGAGAGTGAATTTTTAACCAAACGAGATCAAGGTAAGGACAAAAGATAAACTAGATCACTTTGATTACACAAACTTGAAAAGGTTTGCAAAAAATAAAATTAATCCAACTGGGAGAAGAATGGAATCAGTCAACTAGGAAAAAAATCTTTTTAATAAATTATCTGAGAAGAGTCTGATATTAAAGATATATATATATACACACATATATGTGTGTATATATATATATATATATGGAACTATTACCTAAGACCAAAAATCATTCCTCAATAGATAAGTGGTCAATGGATACGACCAGTTCTCAAAAGAATTTCATACTATTAACAACAACCATATTGAACCAATGCTCCGTTTCATGACTAAGAGAACTGCAAATAAAAATCCTGAGGTTTCACATCACATCCAGCAAATTAACTATTCTGATCTTTTGTCATCTTTGCCAAGATTGGAGAGGCTATGCAAAGGTGGGCATGCACTGCATTGTTGCTGAACTTTTCAACTGGCCCAACTACTGGATACAATGGTTGTATCCAATACAAATTGAAATTATGTGAACAGTGGCTAAAATGTCTACACCCTTTGATTTAAGAGATTCTACTGTTAGCCACATGCTCCAAGGTCAATGACAAAAAGAAAGACCTCATATAAATAAAAATATTTATTACAGCACTTTTTGTACTAGTAAAGGACTAGAAACAAAATAGATGCTATCAATAAGATTAAATTATGTTACATGAATGTAACAAAATATTAGTATGCTCCATGAGACAATGAACATGATGAATTCACAGATGCATGGGAAGACATTAACTGATGCAGAGTGAAATACACGAAACCAGGAAAACAATATATTCAAAGATTATAATAATGTAAATGGAAAGAACAACCACAGAGCAATCCATACTGAATGCTTCAAAATTATAATTACTAAGCCTGGACCCAAAGCAAAGATATGCAGAGGTGGAAGAGTCTATGGGTGTGGAACAATGAAATAATGCTAATCTTTTTTAATATGTTAATTTTGCTAATTTTTTTTCCTCCTCCTTTTTATTCTTTATTATAAGGGATGGCTCTCTGGAAGAAGGGGGAAAGAATATAGTTGGAAATGTAGGTGAAAAAACAAACGATATCAAACTTCTTTAAAAAGAAACAAAGAATATGAAGAACACAGAGAAGCATGAGAAAACATATGAACTGATACAGAGTTCAGTACACAGAACCAGGAAAACCATGACTACAACAATGTAGATGGAAAGAACTAAAAATACGAGATTAAAAGTCAATGATTTCAGGTTGGTGAGGAAAGCTAAGGAAATGAAAACAGAGTTACTGGGGTTTTTTTTAAAGCTGTATTTGGGGAAAATGAAGATTAAAAAGAGCAAGGGAAGAAGATAAGGCAGAATTTATCAACTTTTAATTTGCTTCCGTTTTATCTTTCAAGAAGTATTCTGACACTGGCCAAAGGAAATCAAAAAGCCTAACAGGGAGCTGATTCCAAAGACAGAGTAAAAGAACACCTGGATGGCTTTGATGAGTGCATGTCATTAAGCACAGATGAACTATATCTTAGGATACTAAAAAAACACTGGTGACTCTGATTGCTGAGCCAGTGTTAGTGATCTCTCAAAAACCATGTTGTATAAGAGAGGTGCCACAGAAAGGAAAGAAGGAAAACGTTTCAATTTTCAACAATGAGAAGAGAATGGAATTGGCAAACTACAGCTATAAAGAAGCTTCATTTTGATTCCTGGAAAAATTTGAAGAAGCCTTATTAAAGGAATAGTTAGTAAGCAATTTAGAAAAGAAAGCAGTAATCACAAAGAGCCAGAATGACATCATCAAGAAACAGGCATGCCAAGTTAGTTGAAGACTAACCTCATTTCCCAGAATTACTAGATTGGAAGATCAAGGAAGTTTCAAGGAAGTAGATACAGTTGGCCTAGATTTTAGCAAAGTGCTTACAAAATCTCACACACTATTCTTGTAGAAAAGATGGAGATGTGGACTACGTGGTAGTTCCAAAGCTGCTTGAATGGTCAGACACAAATAGTAGTCATGAATGCTTAGATAACAACTTAGAAAGAGGCCTCTGACAGAGTGCCCTAGGGATATGTGTTTGGCTTCCTGCTACTTAACATTTTTTATAAACTACCTGGATGTAAGTACAGTGGGCATGCTTATCAAATTTATAGACGCAAAACCAGAAGAGCCAGTAAACATGTTAAAGAATACTAAAAAGTTAGACAATTAAGCTGAATCTACTAACAGGTTGGGAAAATTTTTCTTACATCAAACCCAAATTTGTTCCTTTCCAACTCCTACCACTTGAGTCTTAGTTCTGCCCTCTAGGGCCAAGCAGAACAAATTTAATCCCTATTTCATGTGAAAGCCACTCAGATACCTGAAGAAAGCTGTAACGTCTACCACCTTCCTCTCCTGTTCTTTCCTCCCTCCCCACCAAATGATTCCTTCTCCAGACTAAAAACTCAGAATCTTTCAGCATGATCTGAAGGTCTTCACTAATCCTAATCTCCCTTCTCTGAATGGGCCTCCCTTTTATCCATGACCTTGATTCCTAAAATATGCTACCCAGAATTGAACACAAGATTTAAGATTTGGTCTAAGAAGTATCAAACCCAAAAATAAGGTCCTTAACCAAGGTGATCAATCTAATTAGCCCTGAATATCACCTGTGAGGTTAAGTGACATCTGTGGGTATCACTGGTAGAGCTGGGGATAAAGAAAAGAAAGAAAAGAATGAGAGCAGAGTAAAAAAAAAATGGAAAAGAGAAAAATAAGTCAAAAATAATAACAACAATAATAGCTAACATTTATATAATATTTCCTATGTGCCAGGCACTATGCTTAGCAGTTTACAAATATTAATTCATTATTGTCACAAAAATTCTGGAAGGTAAGTCCTATTATTATGCCTAGAGAAAACTGAGCTGACAGAGGTTAAATGACTTGCCCAGGCTCACATAGCTAATAAGTGTCTAAAGCCAAATTTGAACTGAAGTCTTCTTGACTCTAGGTCCTGTGCCCTATCTGCCATGCCACTTAGCTGCCTATATAGTAAAAAACAGAAATAAATCATAAAGCTACTTAATGGTAAGAATGTTCCCTACCTGAGGTATTAAAAAAAGCCCTATGATTCCATCCAACTGCAACTTAAGAATTGTAAGCAAGACAGATGCTTAATGTTGACTATGAAATGTATTCCCTACAATCCCATAGCAAAGCCTACCATTTCTTAATCTAGATCTCAAGTGCAAATTTTCTGCTCACTGTATGAGAAACAACCCCTAACAGAACACATAAGGTAATTCTGAATGAGTCTTATCTACTTCTAATTTCCTGTTAACATAACATTGATATGTTGATATTCCCAAATATACTTAAGTATTTTAAAAGGACTCTGATATAGACTGCCATTTTGCCAGTCTTTAAAAAAAATGAAATTAGAACACTGTTGCAATGTTAATCAAGGAAAAGAAGGAAAGAAACCCTGAAAAATATACTAGATTGGGGTGAGGGGAGGCAGAGAGAATCCAAGTTTTACATTTGTGTAGTTTAACCACAATGCAATTTCAGATAAGCAAGAGCTGGTTATAAAATTAAATCCTGTACTGTAACTAGTATTTTTTGCATTGTTACTCAACTTTGCACTTAAGCACATTTTTAACATTTGCCTATTAAAAAACTTAATTAAAAAGGTAAATTGACTATCAAGTGAATTATGTAATGCTCAGAAAAGGAAAAGATGCTTTTGGATTACTTGCTCTTTTTTGGTTATTCACAATTTTTTAATGCTACCCTCAATTAACATAGATTAATATGCACCACTGTGATTTCAACCATACTATATTGCAACCAAATGGTTTGCTCTTTAATCACAGCGCCTTACTCTTTTTTCAGGAAGTGAAAATAGCACAATATAGTAATTCATATTTTATAGTGAGAAATACACTTCAATAATAAGGATTTCTAAAGTTTTATAAAATATCCAAAGAATGCCATCTTAAGTCATAATCAATAACATTCAGTATTTGAATGAGAGATTTATTCTCTGCAAAACAGCAAGAATATTTAAATTTGAAACCTGAAAGTTGAGAAAATAGCAGTTATCAAATGGATTTCTCTTCAAAAACTATTCATTTTATTATTTTCTTTAAATGGGTTAATGCCATGTATCATTTGCAATATCAATTACCTGTGCTTACACCACAAATATAATCGAAAAGTTGATGAATTGGTTGTTGAGTAAGTTCAACTATTTTTCGAAGACTCTGAAGAGCAACCATACCTCTGTAACAAAGTTTAGAGAAAAATATAATTAAAATGTTTGCTTTCCAGAAAAAGGACTTAAATTGCATAAACACTCCATACAACTTATATGTCTTTCAGTTCAAGTTTCCCAGAAAAGCATTTCCAATTCATTCTAAAATGTTAATCATGATATATTGCTATGTAAATGAGCAGAAGTACATTTTTCAAGGACGTGTAATTTAGCACTTGTAACAAGTTATTCCTTTTTAAATCTCATAAAAGCTATTAAAATAATCCAATTTTTAATAACTAAATTTGTAGGAAAACCTGCTATACAGTTAGCATTTAGTGGCTTGGTCCACAATCCTATCACCTCATGCTTGGATTACTGATATAATTTCCTGCTTGGGTCTCCTCATAATTCCAATTTATCCTCCATTATGCTATCATATCAGTATGTGGGCAGCAACAGGCCAGGATGAGGCCAGAACCCGAAGTTTAACTAGATAGAAGGGACATTACCAGTACCAAATATGGAGGTGGATGAGGGATGGGGTGGAAAGGGGGTTTGACCAAGCATAAAGAAGAAAGTTAAGATAGGAAAGAATAAGCAGTTACTGAAGATACAGGAAGACAAGTAGTTAAATCCAGGAAAACAAGCAGCAAGAATTAGGAATCCAGAATAGGAGACAAAAGAATAAAGGTTCTCTAATCAGGAGGTTTGTATAACAAAGATTATGAACTCAGGAAGAATAGTCTAAGCAGTAAGTCATGATCTGAAGGAGTAAAATAACGGGCACAAGGCATCAGAACCAATAATGAAGCTTAAAAGGTAAGCCAAATATCTTCTAATTCTAATCTAGGGAATATTTATTTCAATTCAGGGCCAGAATCACTCTCTGATAATGGACAAGCCTGACCTATAGATGATCAGGTGTATCTGTCTAGAAGAGAGGAGGACTGAGAGTACAAGAAAAGAGGCAGTTCATGACAATCTAATTTTTTAAATACATCTTTCAATGTATTCAATTCAATCTTTCAATACATCCCTTTTGTTTAAAAAAAATCCTCCAATGATTCCTTACTTCTAACTACATTAAGTTCAAACTTCTGCTTAGATTTCAGTAACTTCCATCTCGTAAGTCTCATCTTACTTACACCACCTTATTTCCTAAGACTTTATAACATGTACTTCTGTTCTCCAATCAGGTCAATGGCCTTACTTATTCCAAAAATATACGAGCCCTAACATTCAAAAATCTATGCATTTACTCATATTGTTCTCTACTGTTATATCCTCCATCCTTTCTCTCCACCTATATAAAAGTTACTCATCCTGTGAGGTCCATGAAGTCTTCCTTGACAAGTTCAGCCCTCACTGATCTCCCTATCGAATATGCTCCAACAACAATAACCAATAAGTAATTTCTCTGTACTACACAATTCCAAACTTTAATAGTCCTGATTGCTTAGCATTGTTACTCATATGTTAGTATTATGTCTAAAAATATCTTCAGGAATCTTCTATATCTTTCATAGCACCTAACATGGGGCTACACACACATTGGGTACTAATTAAAATAGAACAAATATGCCACAACGTTAAAAGATTTTCAAGAATTTCAAGATTCTTACGTTTGACAGATTCATGTAATATATTACAAAGAAAATGAACTTCATTAAAATCTGAATATTAAGGGACAATGAATACATTAGGCTCTTTTTGTATGCAACAGTTTTTAGTTTTGGAAAGGGCAGAAAAAGAGCTTTTATTAAAGTATATAAGATACTTCCCCTTTTATAAATGAACATTTTGATACCTGAAATAAGCAGGGGAGGGACTTTTGTTTAATTAAAATTGTTAAAAATAAGCGAATGAAGAAACACTTTTCCGGAGGGATTTGAAAGGTTTTAAACCAAAAAAAAAGAACTGTTAAATAAATAAAGACTTAAGTCACTTTATGAAAGATATCAGATAATGCCTTGCTTGTATGTGAACAGTTAGAAGATCTGAAGGAACAGAAAAATAACTTTTATGTATGGAAAACTGGAAATATCAAAGTCTGAAGAAATGGTTCAAGAATACAAAATGTGTTGGACCAAATGAGACCTTTAGACCTGCAGAGCATTATGATAACTTGACTCATTTGCACGTAACTATTTTACTACTTATGAGGGTAAAATTTTAAAAGTGGGGAATCATAAATATTTGGAGACTGAGGTATGATTTAAGGACTATTTATTTCAAAGAGGAAGTCAATGAGAGTCAGGAGGTTCTGATTTAAGGCATCAGAATATAAAATATGCTAAAGCTTAAGACTGAAGAGTCTGATAGAAGAGGAAATAATAACTGGGAGTTGGAAAAGCAGTTCCATCAGAGCTGTGTGTGTGAAGAGACAACTAAGGGAAACAGGAAGCAGTCAGCTGAAAGAAGGCTTCAATTTCATGATTTCATGATGGCTGAAGGAAGCCAAATGGTTCAGGTATTGATCTTCAAGTACCTTGAGTGGTAAAGCTCCTCAGAATTGCATGTTGCCCTTTTCTGCCTCCCCCTCTCTGGTTTAACAGGGAAAAGCACAAAAGGAAGATTAATGTTACTGCTTTGCTATATAAGAAGAGTTGGCTAGGCTAGTTTTGCCTTGCCTAGAGAATCAACCTGAGCTCTCTGCTCAAACTGAGTTCAGTTCTGACTGGACAACAAAGCAACCTGGTAAGCGAAGATTTGGGTGGCCTGCTCTATGTGGTATAACATTTTCTAAACCTCTTTTAAGGGAACTTGTGATATTAAAGAACTTAAAAATGCACATTCCAGTATAAAAGAGAGAAGGATTTGCCCAGTTAAAGAGCAGCGAGTGTTAAAAGACAAAGCAGTGAGTAGTTTTCATGTAGTGTATCTATTTCTGAACAGACCAATAACACTGAAGCCTGTGGTCAGGAGTTACCTTGAGCCCATGAAGCTTTTCTTCTCTCATGTGTCTACCTTCCAGGTTCCTTGTGTTTGTCTACGTATCTGAGTGCACTAACAGGAGATTGTTAGGCAGGTTTATGTGTGGATTGTGACTTATTATTTGTGCACTTGCTTGCTATATTGCTTAAAGTGCTATATAAATGCTAGTTATCATTATATGAGAAGCTATGATTTTTTAAAAAAATGCATTGCTAAGTAAATAATCTTATTTATGATCTAAAAGTGTCATCTTGATAAATGATGAGTTTGTATAAATAGAAACACACTGATGGGGAGATGTGAAAAATAATCGTCATCATTCTTATCAATAAAAATAGCTATCATTTATATAGTGTTTTAATGTTTACAAGCACTTTTCATATTATCCCATTTGATCTTCACTGCTACACTGAAATAGGTATTATTGTACCTATTTTACAGAGGAAGAAACTGAGACTGAGAGGGTAAGTGACTTCTCCAAAGTTACAAAGATAGTAAGGTAGGATTCAAATTTAAGTTTTCCTGACTCTAAGTCCAACATTCTATCCACTATACCAAGTTACCTGATGAGCTAGAGTGGTGAGTCAGGGGAGTATATTTCCCCACAACAAGGTTATACATAGGACCTTGAGAGAATTTGAATATAACCATGTGGTAATCTATAGGAACCTAGATCTGCCAGTGTAAGGGCAGGATAGAATGAGCAAGGCAACTCAGAGAGTAAGTAGGCAGCACATGTCCAAGTGAGAGGCATGATGTTCCAACAGAAAGAATGTGGATGATCCATTCCACCTGTGTTATAAAATAAATTTTAGTTTTGTGCCAAAGTATCTTTTAAAATAAGAAACAAAGAATTTAAGTAAAAATCAGTTTCCTTTATGAAAAACTATTTTAGTAAAATCACAAACCTGAGTTTGATTTTAGAACAATGTAATGCAATCATGTTTAATTTTCTAACTAAAGAATCAGGTAGTGCAATTTCCACAAAGTTAAGTTGAACTCTAATGCACTAAATTTTTCCCAGTCCTACCTTATTCCTCCACCATCGATAGTGAGAATACGAATTCCTCTTCCTTTCACTGGATCTGTATAGCCGATTAAAGCCAAATTTTCCCTAATAGTGGCTTGAAGAGCTTCATCCTTAACTTGTCTTAGTCGTAGTAAGTATGGAACAAGTTTTTCCTGTAGAGGACATATGTTTCATGAACTTTAAAATTCAAGAGTGAAAAGTTTATATCATGTTTTCAAGAATCTTGTGTCAATATTTTGTTTAAAAATTACATCACTTACATAATCTTTATAAAACTCACATCAACCTCAAGTAAAAACTTCTCTTTGTCAGTTTAAAGAAAATGCAGGCACCTAAAATAGATTATATAAAATCTTCCCACAAGAATTATAACAAAAATCTTAACAGAACATCATCTGTTTAATTTAATAGGCATATATAAAGTCCCTACAATGTGAACTGCTAAGTGAAAGAAAAAGTAAAAAATAGTCCTTGCACATTTAACTAGTTCTTTGCAATAATCACTATCAGAGGAAAAATGACAAATATGGCTTCATAATAATATTTAGGAATAAAATGTTAATTGCTTTTAAATGTAGAAATAAAACTGCAAGATCTATATTTGTAACAGTCTAGGAGATTTAATAATGAAATTCCTGATCAGACCAAATGAAAAAGTTTTTTTTAACAAATTAAGAAAATCTCAGAAAAGCAGTGTTCAGAGGTTTAAATTCACTTTGGGATTTAAGATTCTGAAATCTTTTTTCACTGCTATTCAGTAACTCAAGTTTACATTCTAAGACCTGTAAATAAAACTGTGTAAGGCAGAGGTTTCAAAAACCCAGAGTGGCCCACAACACTCCCAGGTAAGGCCCAAACCAGATTAAAATGTAATTGTGAAATATTTAACAAAATAAATAAAAATACAGTAAAACAAATAATGCTAATAGGTGGTTTTCTAAGTCAATATGTAACTGCAGGGATCTTTATGTACAGTTTAGTGGTCTCCATTTTTATTTGAATTTGATACTACTAGCATAAAAGGCTGTAAGATGGTACAGTGGATAGACTGCCAAGCCTGAAGTCAGGAAGACCTCTTTGTGAGCTCAAATCTGGCCTCGGATACTTATTAGCTATGTGAACCTAGGCAAGTCATTTAACCTTGTTTGCCTCAGTTCTTCATCTGTAAAAAAAGCTCGAGAAGGAAATGGCAAACAAGTCCAGTATCTTTCCCAAGAAAACCCTCAAAAGGGGCCATGAAGAGTCAGACATGACTAAAGAAATGAACAACCACCACAACTAATGGTATAGGGAATACAGTAGCCTCCCCAAACCACTAAATGAAGAAACAGTCTTTATGATAACCAAGTATTAAAACCTAATGAAAAATAAGCTTCTTTTAATAATAAGAAATTGAATACCTGCATAAGAATAAATAACATCCAATGAGGCAGTTGCCATCTAAAACAGAATGTAACTGAATTCTAGTAACATTAGGTGAGACTGAGAATGCCCAAGTCACTGTTCATCTTCAACTTCACTTTAACAGTTTCATAAACTGATGAAAATATTAACCAACACATTTGTGGTAATTTTAACAAAAACTCTCCTTAGGAAACATATGACACATATCACAAAATGTTATTACAATGATAAAGATTCAATTGTTCTATTTTGTATATATGTAATACTTTATACAGAAGGTCAATCCACTTAGATTTATCCATATTATTCTCATTTTACAGTTGAGAAAACCAAAGGAACACTGGAATGTTCAAAAACCCCAGAGAAGGAAGCTGAGTGACTCTACGAGATTAAGATCAGCAATGTTGACAGAGCAGTAGGGAGACAGGCACTCTAAGACAGTGTTGGTGGGACTGAAGACCACTCAAAGTATTTTAACTCAGTGATTCCATTGCTAGGTTCCACCCCAAAAGTATAATTGAAATATCTATTGAACAATATTCATAGCTGCTCTATTTGTAATAGGAAAAGAACTGGAAACAACTTATATTCAAACTGACAAATAGCTATGGAACAATATTATGCTACCACAAAAAATAAATACAAAATAAGGAAATGTAGAAGATTTGTATGAAGGTGATGAAAAGTAAGTCTGAAGAACTAGAACTGTCCATACACTGAGAATAAAAGAAAGGAGCAAGGTAACTAGGCCCAAAAGTGGCAGAATTTTGGACAGGCAAGGAAAAGAACATAGAACAAAAACATTTTATCTATTTGTTAATTCTTTTGGTTTTGTCTTGTTAAAAGAAGTGGGGGAGGGTGAGGCTTTCACTTTGCCTCTTATTTTTTATGTTTATTTTATAATTTTTGTTGATAAGTTTGATTTTTTTAATGGTCTAAAGAATAAAATGATAAGTACTGGATAAGCCAACCAACAGATGTCTAGAAAAACCTTCCAGTTTTTATGTGTAAAGCTTATTTAGTACCAATAGAGTAATATTTATCAGTAAATGGATAGAAAAACTTTGCAATTAATATGTAGTACTTAATGAGAAGGGAATTATAATTTTCATATTAATTGATATATGTGTAATGAATATACTAATAATTTAGTTTTCTCAAGAGCTGCTTCTCTGGCTCAGGAGTAAGAGCTCACAATCCAAAAACATGAGAATCCCACTATTTGAGAGCTTATATTAAAAAAAAAAAACAACTCACCTTGACAGCTAGTGCTTTTGCTTCAGGAAATGCTAGAAGATGAAAAGTTATTTCTTCGATCCTGGTAATACAGAGTTTATGGTCAGTCGTTCTTCTTAATGCTTGAACTAAAGCCCGGGTTCTATTATCTATACTCACCCTTTCAATAATCTATAAAATATATAGAAAGAGAAATCAATAATTCTGGCAAGATGGAAAAATATTAAATCTTAAGAAAAACCAGGAAAATAGAGAAAATCCCAAGTCTGACAAATACCAAAAAAAGTTAAAGTTAATTACAAGAAGTCTTGCCTTTTCTCGCTGAAGATATAAGCGTCTTTTCTCTTCATCTTGTTTTTCTTTCTTGTGAGCCTCCTCAGCTGGGTCGCCCCCCTGAAATTCTTCCGAATGATGTTTTGAATCAGCCTTTAATTTGGGTACAAGTCCGACAATGTAACCACCCACAAGCGCTTGTACCCTGTCAGTAGGTCGTGCAAGAAAGTTGGCAAAGCTCTGTTTAACAGAAACTGGAAGAGCATCAGATGTCCCAGTGAGCTCCTCAGGGTGACCTACAGCAGCTGAAAGAAATTGTGAATCCGTCCCCTTCTCTTTAAGTTGAACTACTTCCTTGGGAGGACTGTGTCTAATTTCATCTTCACTCTTTCCCACTTTTATCTCTGTATCCTGCTGCACACGGTTATTTTCATTTCTTTCAGTCATATTTGTAAAGTATGAATTTATATGACTTGATAAAAAGTGTAATGATTCTTCAAATTTTGTAATTATATAGTTTGTATAACAAATGTTTTGTTTATTGTCTTCTAGACCTTTCTCTAAAACTGGGTCGATTTTTGCTGGGCTTTCCAAAGAAGGGTCTGAGGTTTTGCCTTCTGGAAAAGGGCTCTTTATTTTATCGCCACTGGAATCATTCAGAGTGTTGGTGCCAGACGCTTGTTTAACACTTTTCTGGCTTAATGTGTCATCTTCTGATTTTTTCCTCAATATTCCTGGTTTGAGTTTAGAGAAACGTGAAAACATTTCATTCTGATTGCCAAAGACAGCTTTTGAAATAGAGTCCAAGGTGTTTTTAATACGGGACATATGAATGTTGACTTTTGTTAGTCCCTTGGGTGCAGAAGTGTTAAGTTTTAAAACTCCAATGTGTAAATCATGGTTGCATGGATTACAATAGTGTTTACTACAAACAAATGTGTGACTTTTGGTACATTTATATCTTGTTTTGCTTGTATGGAAACTTATTTGCTGACTGATACAGCTTATCTTCCAATAATACTTAGGTGTGCATAAGAGATACAGTTGCTTGCTTCTGTTTCTCACAAAGGCTTCTTGCATAACTAAGGAGATAAATACATATATCTAAAGTCAAATGAATGGACATTACTTAAGAGATTTTTATTTCCCATATGTTATGGCTTTCTTTCACTTCACTCCTGAATGCTTCATTTAAGAAACGCCACAATTCATAGTCTTACCTGAAATGGTAAAAAAAAAAATAGAAGGTAAGTTAAAATTTTAAGAATGAGAATGATAAAAAAAAAATACAGTCCTTGAATTAAATTCAGGCAATCTGCCTCAAAGAAACAGGGAATAAAAAATTTTATTGTGGCTCATGTAGCCTTTTAGCTTATGGGAATGAATTCACCAGTCAGTACAGTAGCCAATGGAAATAAAGGAACTGTGAGGCTCAGTACAAGTTCAACTAAACAAAAAATTTTGGGAGCTTTTCAATAGATTAGTTTTCCTAGCCCACATAATTTAATATATGTAGATGTTGCTGTCTCACACATGATAGTTTTACCCCTTTAACTACAATGGAAACTTTTTAACAGTAGAACTTTTATCTTAGATTTTTGTATCCAAAGCTTAACACAGAGTAGGGACTAAGTAAAATACCTAGACAACTGAGGGAAAATCCTTTCTAGTTTTTGTGTTGTTTTTAAAGAGAAGCTTATCATCATTCTATTAAACATTTAAAAAGCACATGTATAACTTATTCATTTAGATCTTTTCAACAACACTAACATACATGAAACAATCGAAGAATAATTAAGTACTAAATTGTGTACCATAGGCTGTAGTTGTAAGGAAAGTTCAGAAAACAAATTGGTATAACCTTGACAAGTTAGAGAAAGTTTCATAGGTATTTTGAAGCTAGGTCATGAAGAATGTGTAGGGTTTATACAGGCAGAATGGAGGGTATTTTGTGTATAGTCAATCAACCAATTCTAAATCACTGGATCATATACTTTTGAACTTGGACTTCAAAGGAGGAAAGTGAAACAGAAATTAACAGCCTGGTTCAGGGTCATATGAGATAACATTTGAACTCAGGTCCTCTGACTTCAATGAGTACTCTTTCCACTCCAATATTGTTGCTATCTAGCCTACTTCTCTCCATCTTGTCCACGATGATATCCTGAAAGCTTTTGTTAAATGCTTTGCCGAAAGGTCAATGAATTGTTCATACCCTTTAATGCAACAAGTGTCCAACAAGGCTGGACAAGATGTCTGCTAAAGTCTCTTCCCATTTTCAATCTATGATCCTATGATTTGAACCAAGGCTCCATGATTCCAAACACAGGACTCTTTGCACTAAACTATGCCGCCTCTCAAAAAATGAACTCAGTATGTCATAACTACTTCTTAATGAAGTCATGCTGTCTTTAAGTGATCATTACTTCCTTTCTTAAATGCTCATTAACCATCCCTGCAATAAAGTGTTCTAATGGAATGGAAAAGAAAGGGCTTGTCTAGAGTTGTTCAGAAGAAACACTTAGTAACTGTATACAGAGGAAAAAAGAGTGAGATGAGATAAATATAATCCCAAGGTCTCTAGTCAGGGATAGTGAAAGAATTGCATTACTACTGTTGGAGATAAGTTAGGAAAGGAAGTCAATTTCAGAAATAGAAAGAGAAACGATGTTTAATTCTGGACCCACTTATTAAGATAAAAATGTATCTTTCAACCTACTAATTCATAAGGGTATTGTGAAGAATGTGCTTTGTATAACATAAAGTGCCATACAAATGTGGAAGAAAAAGAAGGTGTTTTGTAGTCAGTACCATATAAAGCAGAGAATAAGAAATAAGGGCTAGATATGTGCATTTGGGTCTCATCCACAAAGAAGTAATGACTTAAAGTCATCAACTTACAATGGAATGAATACAGACATAAAGAAAGGCAGAGAAGAGTGCATCTACAGAAACAGGAATACAAAGGGAGAAAGAAGAAAGTCAGAGGCAAGAAAATCTAGAAAAAGAATTGCAACAAAAACAAAAGTAGGGAAATTCAAAGAATGAGCGTTGTTGTTTAGTCATATCTGACTCTTTGTGACCCCATTTGGGGTTTTCTTGGCAAAGATACTAAAGTGGTTTGCCATCTCTTTCTCCAGCTCATTTTACAGATGAGGAAACTGAGGCAAACACAGTTAAGTGACTTATACAGGGGTTACACAGCTAAATAAGAAACTGAGGGTGGATATTAGCTCAGGAAGACAAGTCTTCCTTACTCCATGCCTAGAATGCTATCCACTGTGCCACCTAGCCGCCCTTCAAGGAATAAGAAAATGAAATCAATGAAAGTAGAGCAGGATTAAGGACCACCACCAGAACCAAGTTGTGCTGTCACAAGTTGAAAAATAGATGGATCAGTATAAATTTTCCTGCAATTCCTGAAAAAGAACTCAAAGTGCATGTCAGTTGTATTGTCTTTATATATGAAAGCATTTGTCATTAGGCTGTAACTTCTACTGAAGTTCACAATTCCATTTAACCTTGTTGAAGAAAAAGCAGTAATCTACAGGGTTTTTAAACTGGCATTTCATACAACCATAAAGATATTAAAACTATTTAGGGTAAGAAGCAGCAGAGTTCAATAGAAACAGCACTGTATTTGGAATCAGAGAACTTGGGTTCCAAAATGACTCTGTTACTTAACACTTTCCTGACCTTGGTTTTAACAATAACTCTGTAATCCAGAGAAGTTTCCATATGTATAAATGAAGAGGTTAGACCAGATGAGTAAACTCTGAGGTCCCTTCCAGTTCTAAATCTTATGATATTCTTAAGACAAAAATGACCACATATATAAACACACGTAAAATATAAGTTGTTTTCTAAAGCAAGGGACCACATGATTAGAAAAGGTATAAATCAAGTGTCATGGGGAAATAACGATTTTTTTTTATTACCTCAGTTCCTTATATCCTTTAAAAAAATTTCTAGTACAGCAGTAATGGCCAAAAAATCATAAACTTCCATAGGTCTATAAGATCATTGATTTACAGACGGAAGGGTCCTTAGACGAGATCTGCTCCAACCACTTCTTTTTAAAAATGAGAAAACTGAGGCCCAGATAGGTTAATTAGCTTGCCTTAATCATACAGATGGCAAATTTTAACATTTTTGTTTTTATGTTCAATTATCTTTCTCCTTGTGTGCACCAACCAGAAAACAACTGAAGGTAAAACATGCACTATTTTAAGAACTACTAAGTAATGATGATATCATGTTCTACCCTCTGTTCTTCTGCAAACCTGTTTTCTTCATTAAGTTTTTTTCCTGGAAGTCACTTCTTTCTTTGGTTTAATGCCATCATCCTATTTTGAAACTAGGTTACTTGCAGTAACAACTGATTATCATTCCCTCTCTCCTTCTCTCTCAACCTTAGTCTCTCCGCCACCACCCCACCCCATGCCCTTCCAGCTCCTCTACAGAATTCTCTATAGATCTATAGATATATATTGATACAAAGATCTACAGATCTCTTTAGATCTATAGATCTTAATATCGATGTGTGTACACTCACTCACACACACACACACACGGTGTTACAAAATTTTTAGGGGGATTTTAAGCTCTTAAAACTTAAAACTGCATATATATTAGAAATAGAGAATCCTGTAACTAGCACAATTTACACAAAAAAGCAAGAAGCAGAGCTTACTGGAACAGCAGCTGGGGGTGGGAGTTGAGGACAAGTAAGGAAGGACTCTGGGGACGAATATACCTCGACACATACATACACATACACACCGAGAAGTGTCTATACCACCAGATTAAAGGGCCCAACTATGGACCCCGGACAGGCGTAGGCTCAGGAAGAACGGAAACTTGGACCCCTGTGAACAGTTGGAGACTTGTCAGAGCTCAGGAAAGGGTAGAAAGAGGGTCGGAGGGAGGGACGGGAGTGGGTGGAGACAGCAGCGAAACCCAAACACTACCCAGGGCAGCGGGCGGGTAAGGAAGGGGGAGGGGGCCTCTGGACCACTCCAAAGTGTCAGGGGGAGCCAGGGGTCCTTTGGGATCCTCAGGGTCGGAAGCGCCATCACGGAAGACTCAGAGCTGGTGGATGAACAGGCCCCGAGAGGCGAGGGAAGGGGAAGGCGGGCCCTGGGCCCACTTACCCGGCTGCAGGCCGAAGGCAGCAGGCAGCGACTTCAATGTCTCATCTAGCCCTCCACACGTCAAGGAGCAGTGACGTCAGCCCAAGCCCAGGCCCTCCCCAAGCGCACCACCCGGATCAGCTGAGTAACCAACACAAACAAGCCGCCCAAACGTGAGCCGCTCCGAACACCCCGTGGCCCCGCCCCCACCGGGCCCTACGGAAGTGAAGTCAAAGCGGCGGTAGCCGGCTCAGCCAATCAGCGGGGCCGTAATGTGAGGCGGGCCCTTCGGCTTCTAGTTTCCACTTCCTTCCCATCCCGGTTCAGAACCCTACCTGTTGTGGGGTGAAATGCGTGTGGCTCAAGGAGGTTGGGGGGAGATTCGCCTTCCGGGCCGCTGACGCCCCTGATGGGGCCAAGAGCGCCCAGAAACTGCCCCGTTTAAGCGAGCGTCCGCCCTTCTCGGCTCGGCCATTCCCCATTCCCTGGCTGCGGCCGCCCGGTCCCCTGGTGCTCGTCCCAGTTTTCATGGGCAGAGTTCGAACTTCCCTGTGTTTGTAGGAACCGTGTTATAACCGGCCGGCCCGGACCGAAAGGAGCTCAATCAGGCTCGTAGACCTGGAGCTCGTCCAGCCCAACCCACATCATTGTATAGGTGAGCAAACTGAGGCACAAGGAGGTCGGCATTTCTGGTCAGACAGATTTTAATACATAAAAATGACAAAAAGCAGTGCATCCAGTGTAAGAGGCAAAGGGACAGACCGGGAAAAAGTATTTATGATAAAAATCTGGCTTCAAAAAATCTGTAAGGAAATGGCACAAATGTGTAAGAATAAGATCCTGGGTGCTCTCCCTCCTCCACTTTGACCCAACTAAAATCCCACCTTTTACAGGAAGCCTTCCCCAGCCCCTCTTAATTCTAGTTCCTTCTTTCTGTTAATTGGGTCCTATTTATCCTGAATATTGTTTGCTTTGTATATATTTGCATTTCCAGGGCTTAAGTTCAGTGCCTGGCACATTAGGCCCTTAATAAATGAGGATTGGTTAATTCAATAAGATGATCTCAAGGAAGAAATAATTAAGTTATCATTCCCCAATGATCTATGAATAGGCTGTTCTCAAAGAAGTAATCAGGGTCTCTCTTCTTCCATGAAAAAACAGGGACCTCACTTCTGAGAGGCTGAACTGCTGTTGTCTTGTATTTGGAAATAGGTATTTAAGGGAATTTAAAAGGACCAAATATCAATTGATGCAGTGCATTTTTTTTATCTACAAGGAAAAGATAATAGAGATAGGGTGAAAATTTTTATTTTGAAGTAAAATAATGTTTTTTTGTGTCAGTTGACACACCAGATCCTTATAGTGTTAACATTTACAGGCTGTTACAAAAGTCTTAGTGTGGTTTTAAGCTGTTAAAACTAAATTTTACTTATCAGACTTAAACTATTAAAGCTTAAAAATGCACTAAGACCTTGGAGACATCCTAAAGTTGGAAACAAGAAGAATGCAAACTAGGGCTCTTTAATCCTCATGCCTGGCAGTGGTATCACTATCTCAAACGGTACTCCATAGTTTAGTTACTTTAGTTTTAGTGAATTTAGTTGAACCAGTTTACATCTCCACCAACCACACCAACAATGCATTAGTGTTCCTGTCTTCCACAGCCATCAACAATGGCTTTTCTTCATTCGAAAACTGCCTATTCATATCTTTTGCCCATTTATCTATTGGAGAATGGCTCTTGTTCTCATATATGTATATCACTTCCCTATATATGTTGTATATCAAACCTTTATTAAATAAATTTGCTGCAAAGATTTTTCCCAGTCAACTATTTCCCTCCTAATTCTTACTGCATGAATTTGAGTTGTACAAAAGCTTTTCATTTTTATTTAATCAAAATTGTCCATTTTTATCTTCAGTGATCATTTCTACTTCTTGTTTTATTAGGATTTCTCTATTCGTATTTATGAAAAGTGTATATTTTATTTCTCTGATTTGTTTATCAGATAGCCCTAATGTTCTGGGGATCATCATCCTAACTCCCATACTAAGGAGTCAGATCCTCCTCAACAAGCTTACATTTCCCCTTTAGGTTAATAGGGATACCCCTAAGGGATTGAGAGGTGTCTTCTCTAATGCTTTATAAAGTCTCAGGTCTCCATTTCTGGTGTGTTCTTCCCAATTTTAACCAGCAAAGGTGGTTAGTATCCCAGGTCAATTAATATCAATCATCCCTCTATTGAATTAATAAATAAAGCTTTTTTGATAGATTTTTTTTTGAAAATAAAAAAATAATAAATAGCTAAACCATTTTTTAAAAGGAAAGGAATACCAAATTGTTCAAAGAGGATTTGCAACAACTGAAGAGGAAATAGAATAAATTATCAGAAATTCTTTTTGCCCAATCAAAACATAATTTAGAGAAAATAGATGAATACTTAACAGAAATATAAAATATCAGATTAACAAAAAAACAAACTACTTACATAACCCACTATCAGAAAAACAAATTTAATAAACTATAAGTGAACTCCCTGCCCCCAAAAATTTCCAAGATGAGATTGATTTAAAAGTAAATTCTATCAAACATTCAAAAAACAATTTCAATATTACATAAACTTTGCAATAATAAGAAAAGAAGGCACTCTCCCAATCTCTCTATGTTACAAATATAGCCTTGATTAATAAGGAAGGAACAAAGCAGAGGAAGAAAATCACAGACCGATACCCCTAATGAACATTGCAAAAATTTTAACTGAAGTATTAGCAGATAGGTTACAACAGTATATTAGAAATATTAATACACTAGTTGGTTTTATACCAGGAATGCAGAATTGGTTAAACATTAAAAAGGCTATAAATTTAATTAATTATGTTGATATAAGCAAAAACCACATGATTATATCAATAAATACTGAAAAGACCTGACAAAATCCAACATTCATTCCTGCTAAAAATTCTAGAAATCCCAGGAATATGCCTGGAATACTCTTCTCCTCTCTGCCTTCTGGCATCCCTAGCTTCTTTTAAGTTTCACTTAAAATCCCATCTTTACAGGAAGCTTTTCTTAATTCTAGTGTCATCCCCCTGTTAATTATTTCCTATTTATCCTCTATGTAGCTGGTGTATTTGTTTGTTGTCTTCCCCATTATATTGGGAGCTCCTTGAGGGCAGAGATTGTCTTTTGTCTCTTTTTGTATCCCCAGTGTTTAACACAGTGCCTGGCAAATAGGCATTTACTAAACATTTATTGATTAATTGAATAAATTGCCTTAGTATAGTGAATAGTATTTTTCTAAATCCAAGGGTAAATATGGGTAATGAAGAAAAATTAGAGGCATTTCTAAAAATATCAGGGGAAAGCAAGAACATCTATTATTACCACTGCTATTTAACAGAATGATAGAAATGTTAGCTATAGTAATAAGACAAGGGGGAAAAATGAAAGAATAAGGACAGGCAAAACTAACTTTTTTGCAGACAATATGATGGTGTACTTGGAGAACCAGTCAACTAAAAAAATAATTGAAATATTAACTAGCAAAGTTGCAAGATAGAAGATAAATAATCAGCATTCCTATATGTAACCAATAAAATCCTACAGGAAGAGGCAGAAAGAAAAATGTCAATAAAAAAAAAAAACAACAGCTATAAAATATTTGGGTGTGTATTTACCAAGATTTACCCAAGGACTATATAAATTTAACAGTGCAATTCTTGTTTTAGAAATCAAGGCAGATCTAAATAATTGGAAAAATGTTAATTGTTCATGGGTGAGTAGAGTCAATATAATCAAAATGATAACACTATCCAAATTAATTTACTTCAGTGTTGTACTAAACTCCAAAAAGAATTATTTTGTAGACCTAGAAAAAATAATGAAATTCATATAGAGGAAAAGAAGATCAGGACTCTCAAGGATAATAATGGAAAGTCATTTTGGTCAGTATCTATTCCCACAGGAATGGTGTTCTATCCTTATAATGGAAACAATTTTATGATGAAATATAGTGTCACTACTGGTAGAGGTAAAGAGGAATCAGATTATAACAAGTCTGGCTACTTCCCACAAGGTCCTTGGATCAAACATATTTGTGACCTAGACACAATAATAAATATCATGGCAGACATATGAATGACTACCCAAACTTCTTGGTGATGTCATGTAAGGTTCCAAATAAGTCCATGTTGCTTGCCACAGTTGGCAGAAGCAAAATACCACTAATTTAGACTTTCTAGAAGCAATGTCCAGCTGTAATTGGGAAGTTCAGGAGCCTGTGAAAGAGTAATCCTCCTTTGGTTAAAAATCCTCCAGAACCTTTGAAGCTAGAAAGGTTCTTCTCTGGCCAAAGCAGGGATGATGAGGAAGAAAGAACTAAACAGTCTTAAGCCAAAACTAAGGCCTCTCCCTCTCTTCCATGCAGTTTATCTTTAGGGGTTTTATTGGAAGTCAAATCTCTAGAATTATCCTAGAGCTAAACTAGCTTGATATTTTTTCATTTTAATAAATATTTTATTTTTTCTCTCTCCAAAAACATATAAAAACAATGTTTAACATTTGTTGTTGTTTTTTAAACTTTTGAGTTCCAAATTCTATCCCTGCCTCTTTCCCCTCCCCTCTCTCCAAGATGGTAAGCAATCTGATATAGTTTATACATGTGCAATCATGTAAAACATTTCCATATTAGTCATTTTGTGCAAGAAGTCTCAAACGAAAAAAGGAAGAAAGTGAAAAATACTATGCTTCAGTCTGTATTCAAATTCTTTCTCTGGAGGTGGATAGCATTTTTAATCATGAGCTCTTTGGGATTGTCTTGGATCATTGTATTGTTGAGAATAGCTGTCATTCACAGTTCTTCGTCATACAGTATTGCTGTTACTGTGTACAATGTTCTCCTGGTTTTGCTCACTTCACTTTGTATCAGTTCATAAGTCTTTCCGGTTTTTCTGAAATCATCTTGCTTATCATTTCCTATAGCACAACATCATTCCATTACAATTGTATACCACAACTTGTTCAGCCATTCCCCAATTGATGGGCATCCCCTCAATTTCTAATTCTTTGCTACCACAAAAAGAGCTACTATAAATATTTTTGTACAAATAGGTTCTTTTCTCTCTTTTTAAAAATTTCTTTGGGATAC